GGGAGCGCCGCTGCGCTCCCAAGCGGCGCACTCTCCAGTGCACCACCGGGCCGGCCCCCCAGTCTTCTTTTAAAAACAAAAAGTTCATGGAATGATTTGTATAATGTTTCAATTCTATTTTTCCACAAACTTTTTGAAGTACCCTCGTATATGTATTTGCTTTTTATTCAGAGGTAATTTGTTAGTTTTCTTAAAACAATGTTGGTTTTTTAATGGTTTTATTGTTTAGATGTAGCAAGTGTATTGGAGTGGTACATGGGGCGAAAGCTCGTAACACTGACCTGTCATTATTAGGGAAAAAGGAGAAGCCAAAAAAGTTCACTAAGCAACCAAAAAAGCAGACGTCTTCACCCTGTGCTCAGAAGAAAGAAAAGGCATTGGAGAAGGTAATTCTAAATTATCTATTGTTATCCTAAAATTCATATGGAAAAATAAGCAAGCAAGCATAGCCACAAAAAATCCAAAAGAGAAGAGTAATGAATACCACACTGAAACTCTGGCAGTGTAAAACTGAATGAAGAAGTTTTTTGTAGACTGAGAGATTAAATATCTCAGATATACTGACAAATCAAAAAACGAAGGTGCTGAACACTGTATATAGTGGCATAGTATGCTACCGTTTGTGTACATTAGATGGGGAAAATATATATATATATGAGCTTCCTTGTATATGCATAAAATATCTCTTGAAAGCTACATAAAAAAATAGATAAGATTGGTTGCCTCTAAGGAAGGGAACTAAATGTATGAGGGACAGAATTGAGACTTTTTAATGTATGTGCTATTTGTACCTTTTGAATTTTGAACCAATATTATTTGAAAAATAAATAGACTTTTTAAATTAAAAATAAATTATATCTTATGACCTTTTAAAATAATTCTTACTTCTTCATGCCTTTGAAGGAATGGGTAAAAAGCCAGGTAGGAATAGGCAAAGACTGAGATAAGATCCAACAGTTACATTGGAGGGGTTGTACATTCATCTTTGTGTTAAGTACCACAGGCACACAAACGGGTTAATTGCTGGGGATCCAAGGTAAGCAAATAAGCTGGGTTCAAATTCTAGGTCTGTCTATCTTTGAAGAAGTTTCTTAGCTTCTCCGAACCTATTTTATTATGGAGATAATAGTAGGGCTTGTCTCTCATGATTGTTGCGAGGTTTAAATGAAATAGCAGTTATAATGCTGTTGGTGCAGTGTCTTTTATTTAGTAAATATAAACTCTTTTTAGTATTAACTATAACACTAATCAGTAAATATGTCCTAATTGGGCCTTAATTGTCTACGTCTTTTTTTTTTTTAGTCAGCTTCTAGAGATGTGTCTCCTTTCATGTGAGTATTGTTCCTTAATCCAATCTGATGTCCACTCTTTAAGCAACATCAATGCTGATATTTTTTCGATTTTTTTCAATAGTGTGAGTATGCAGAAGAATAAGTGGGATGCCACAAGATCCTTGAGATTCAACCAGGATGCACAAAGAGAAGATGGTAAATTTTATTATTTGAGTAATGTACAAACTGGGCATAAATAGCAATGATAGGAATATCTTTCATTTTATGAAGTATACTTAATAGCTTTAAAGGTTCCAGCTGAAATAAGGCCCCAAATTGGCACATTCCTTTAGGCGCCAACCAGTTTGATTACTAGACAATCCTAGTGCATAATGTATTATTTTATGCATCTGTGGTTTTGAGGTTTCTTGGACTAACTTTTGCCCATTACTTTCACTGTAAAGGTGACTTGAATATGTTTCAGACTGGTGTATAGTAATAAAAAGTGCAGCATAATTGTCCATGTACGAGTCATTTTACCACCTGCTGCCTTAAATTCTTCACAGATAAATAGATGTATGTGTCTGTAAAATAATATTGAAAGATGTTTTCATAAACTTTGATGATTACTGTCTTTTTTAAGAAATAGAAGTTAAAAATCACCGTCATGAAAAGTAAGGTTTACTATTTTTTACCTTCAGATCAGCGGCGGATGTCTGAAATTACAGGGCACCTAATAAAAATGAGATTGGGTGATCTGGACCGAATCAAGTCAAAGGAAGTAAAAGAAGTAAGAATTGCATACTAGTGCAAAATGTGCCTTCCTACTTTTATTTTCAGCATGAGAAGTATAAAGATTTTTTAGGCAGAATTTTAACAGAGTAATTTAGATGTTTTGACATTCTGTGTCAGTTACCCAGTTCATTCACATAAAAGTTTTCCACCTCCTTTTCCTCCATAGGTTCCTCTGTAACATACATAATAAAGTACATCATCACTGAAACTGTGATGTACACAACAACAGTAGGTTAACTCTGCATTGTTGACCAAATGCTGACTATCCAAAGGGTCACTTTCTGAAAGTGCTGATTTTGATCAACTCTGGATATGGTGCTTAGATGTCATCTCTAAAATCAGATGTTATCTTGCTGAAAATGATGACTAGAAATACCTATATCTTACTAGAATTACATATTAGTTATAACATTATGTATTGCCATTAGTATTGGTATTATGTATACACTATAACTCTTTTCCTAATTCTTTTATTTAAAATTTTACTTTTCTATAAAACTTCTAAAGGAAAACATAGGAGAAAATCTTTATGACTTTAGGTTAAGCAAATATTTCTCAGCTACAACACCAAAAGCATGATCCATAAAAGAAGAAATGGACAAATTGGACTTCATCAAAATTTAAAAGTTCTTCTTTTTGAAAAATACCACTAAAAGAATGAAAAGACAAGACATGAATTATGAGAAGATATGTGTAGGGGCCGGCCCGGTGGCGCACTGCTACAGTGCATATATATATATACACACACACACATATATATATATATAATTCTGTCTTTCAAAAAAAATCTGAATTCCCAAATGCATCTCACTCCCAAGGATTTTAGAAAATAGACTATGAAAATAGACGTGAAAATTCATTAAACTTTGACGTGGTCAAGCAAACAATCTAAAACAGCAGCAACTTCTTATTGTTTTAAAAGCAACTCTGACCTTCTTTTCTGTTTAAAAAAATCTAGGTCTAAAAGTCGTTTTGGTCAAGGGCGTCCTGCATAAAGCATCTTAAAATATAACTAAAAAGACAGAAAGCACACTCGTGGACATCTGAAATCACTCACTTCTTGAAGATCTTCAGAATGATGACTTCTAAGTGTTTTAAATTGCTTGTTATTCTTGCAAGCCACATAAATCATAATGCTAAGAGAATATAATTAGGTTTTATGAAAATCTAATTGTACACATGAAACTTCTTATATCTAATTTTCTTTTAGTATGATTTTAGGCTTTGTAGAAAGCAATTATTTACAAATTGCATAGTTAAGACTCCTAGTATTTGTTATCCTTTATTTATTTGAAAAGAGAAGAGGCCTAAAGTATCAAGCAGCTAAGTTTTTTTTTAAGACTTTAAAAAATTAGGAGAACACAACTGCTAGTGTTACTGTGCATGTGCACTGATTGTAGAATGTCTTTTGGGCTGTAAATCTTGGGAATAGCATTGAGAACTTCAATTTGTCTGATGGAATTCCCAATGATGCCAGTTTTAAGTTTGCATGGATATTAATGAGTGACAGATCTCAAGACTACATTAAATAAAGTTTCAGGGTGAGTTATTTCAATACTGTGTTGGGCCGAAGGGTTAATTTTTTTTTCCAGCATTATTCCATGGAAAGTACAATGTTAATCCAACGTTTTTTTCTTTCAGTTTTTAATGTTTATCTATTGGTCATCTGAGCTAGAGTTACTGGTTATTGCCTCTTCCCTCTGTGAAGCTAGTGCCATTCTGAATTTGTTAAAATAACCATTGATAGTTTTAGGATAATAAATCATTTCAGTTGTATAAGACACATCCCACACAGTTCTCAGGGCTCTAAAAGCCAACCATATTTCTACAGCCATTCAAGTAGCCCTTAAAACAGTTATGAGTGTTACTTACTTCAGAGATGTCCAAAACATTCCCAGATGCATTAGATGGGTGAAAAATTGTTTATATTCAAGAAAAATCAAAATAAAATTCTATTTTATACATCATGTTTTAATTTTTCTAACCAGGCAGAAAGAATGCTCAGGGAAAATTTGTTCCAAACCATAATCATATAAAATAAATTGTGTGTTTGGAAATTATTTATGTGTAAGTCTCTGAAAAAATTTTAGAGTGTACTGTTTCTATTTTTAGTCTTTATTTGCCTTATATTTGAAATTTCTTCAAATTATTCAGAGAACAGACTTTGATAATGTGTGACAGAACAGCAATTTTTATTGAAATGTTGAAGTGTTACACTCAGTTTACACGTACAGAAATTATTATTTTTAAAGTGAGTGTTTTAGTTGATAAATGAAACTAGATGTTATTTGATATTATATATATGGCTTTGCCAAGGTTTTTGAACTTGTGTTTGGAAATTTTGTTCCAGTTTCTATTTGTTTTAATTGTTTGATACTTTGGAAATAGGTAAATCATTTTTATTTTCAGAAGAAAATGTTTTGTAGTACAAGGGTACTTCAAACAGTTCAATGAAAGATTCATTATTATTTTTCAATTCTATTTTTCCACGAACTTTTGGAAGTACCCATGTACGTGATACGTAAGCCCTTTTGAATACTAGAATCTTATTGTAGTTTATTATAATGTCTGGTAGAAGGATTTGGGTTTGTATATGTAAACAATGCTGTGATGGTCACAACTAGAAGAGAAAATATGCTCTTTTGATTTTTAACTGATGGTAAAAGGGTGTACTGCTTCTCCCCTGAGGGGACTGTACCACTGAATTGATTTTTACAAACCAGAACTTATTGGATTTTGATTATCTTCAGAATGTGCTTTTTGTTTTGTTAATGTCTGTCTGTAACCATAGCACAGGTACCACAAACATTTTACTCAAACTCCTAATAGCATTTCTTTTGTCAGATACGTTGAGGTTTTAGTTTACATTAATTCTGAATTCACATTTCTTGAATTGAAATAAACGTTAATGACAAAAGTTGTTTGGAAAATCCCTTGATCTGAATCATTTCATCTTCTCAGAAAAAGTCTGGATTTGCTCTAGATTCCACAGGTTTTCATGAAAAATTACAAGGTGAAATTTTCAAGTTTTAAGATTTTTTTTTCTTTTTTATTGAAGCATAATTGATTATACATATTTGTAGTGTACAAAATCGACTATCAGTAGTTGTGTACAATATGTGATGGTCAAATAAGGATAGTTTGCTTATTCGTCATTACAATACATAAACATTGTGTCCGTTAAACAATTTCTCATTAATTTCTCATTATTTCCCCTCCCCAGCTTTCTCCCTTTCTCCCTTTCCACATCTAGTAACCACAGTTCTGTTCTCTCCTTCTAAAAGTTCAACATATTATTGTGATTGTTGTTTCTCTCTCTCTTTCTGTTTGTTTGTTTACTAATTCAGCTCCCACTTATGAGCAAGGAATGAGGACATGCTGTATTTCTCTTTCTGCACCTGGGTTGTTTCACTTCATACAGTTTTCTCCAGGTTCATCCATGTTGCTGCAAATGGCAGAATTTCATTGTTTTTTATGGCAAGTAGTATTCCTTTGTGTATATATACCACACTTTTTTTATCTAGTCATCCGTTGATGGACATTTAGATTGGTTCCAAGTTGCCTCCTTAGTGCTGTAGGTAGCACGTCAGTCTTATAATCTGAAGGTCCTGAGTGGATTGGTTCCATAGCCTGGCTATTGTAAATAGAGCTGTAGTAAACATGGGAGTGCAGGTATCCCTTCAATGTGATGATTTTCATTCCTTTGGATATATACCCAGTAGTGGGGTTGCTAGATCGTATGGTAATTCTATCTGTAGCTGTTTAAGGAACCTCCATACTGTCTCCATAATGGCTGTACTAATTTACAGTACCACCAAAGCGCAGAAGTGTTCCCCTTTCTCCGCATCCTTGCCAGCATTTGTCATTCTCTGTCTTTTTGATAATAGCCAGTTTAACTGGGGTGAGATGATATCTCAGAGTGGTTTTGATTTGCATTTCCCTGATGATTAGTGATGTTGAGCATTTTCTCATGTACCTGTTGGCCATTTGTATGTCCTCCTTTGATAGATGTCTATTCAGCTACTTTGCCTATTTTTTAATTGGATTATTTGGTTTTTTACTGTTGTTTGAGTTCCTTGTATATTCTGGATATTAATCCCTTGTCAGATTTATAGTTTGCAAATATCTCCTCTTCTGTAGGTTGTCTTTTCACTCTGTTGATTGTCTCCTTTGCTGTGCAGAAGCTTTTTAGTTTGATATAACCCCATTTATTTATTTTTTCTGTTGCTGTCTGTGCTTTGGAGTCGTATTCATAAAGTCTTTGCCCAGCCTTACAGCCTGGAGTATTTCATCTGTTTTATTCAAGGAGTTTTAAAGTTTCAGGTCTCATATTTAAGTCTTTAATCCATTTTGAGTTGATTTTGGTATATGGTGAGAAGTACAGATCTAGTTTCATTCGTCAACATACACATATCCAGTTTTCCCAGAACCATTTATTGAAGAGGCTCTCCTTTCCCCATTATATGTTCTTGATGCCCTTCTCAAAGATCAGTTGGCTGTAAATACATGGGTTGATTTCTGGATTCTCTATTCTGTTGCATCGGTCCAAGTGTCTGTTTTTATGCCAGTACCATGCTATTTTGGTTTCTATAGCTTTGTAATATAATTTGAAGTCAGGAAATGCAATGCCTTTGGCTTTATTTTATTTTTTTGCTCAATATTGCTTTGGCTATTTGGGGTCTTTTCTTGTTCCACATGGATGTTAGGTTTCTTTTTTCTATGTCTGTGAAGAATGTCATTAGTATTTTGATAGGGATTGCATTGAATCCTTAGATGGCTCTGGGTAGTTGGACATTTTCACTACATTGATTCTTCCAATCCATGAACAAAGAATGTCCTTCCATCTTTTGGTATCCTCTTTAATTTTTTTCAGCAGTGATTTGTAGTTTTCACTGTAGAGATCTTTCATCTCCTTGGTTAAATTTATTCCTGGATTTCTTTTTTTTTTTTTTTTTTTTTTTTGTCTGTTGTTAATTGGTTTGCTTTCTTGATTTCTTTTTCTGCTAGTTCAAA